GCAAGCTCAGAGGCCGGCAAGGCAGGCGGGGGACGTTGGTTTCCTCCATCACTGAAGCAAGGAAGCCTCATATTCTCTTCAAGCTGCCTGGCTGCTGGCCGCCATCTTGGCTGGCAGTTAACTTGCCTATCTCGCTGATTAGCCAATGGGAAGGGTAGCAGACGTACGCTAATTACCATGTTTCTCTTTTATTAGATAGGATTTTGTGATAATAACTTTGCCTGTAGCCATTAGCAAGGGGGCAACTTTGCTTTTGGCATGTTTGTTAAATGAAGCTATATAATTTCATTAGGTAATGGTTGCTATGGGTTCTCATTTGTGGCCTTAATTCTATAACTTTCTTGATAAAAATCTCTGGAGTAGAGTCTTATTCCTATTGCAGATACCTGTGTTTAGGCCTCTCACCACAGTCCTGTCCGATTGCATTAGTCTCCTCCTTGTCACAGTCTGACTTCTACCAAACTCACCTATTTACTCCCCTATTTCCCTACTGGAGCCATCTGCTCCAGCTAAATACTTTTTTTTTCTGTTACTCCCTGAACTACCCCATTTTAAGTCCACGTCTACTCCTTTTTATGCCGTCCTCTGAGCTGGCATACCTACTCTTTTCTTCACGCACTGAATTATTTGCAGCTTCAGATCCTGCATTGTCTGTTAGCCTGGCAGTGTTAGGGAGCTGTGTGATTGTGATTGGCAGTATTCCAGGGTGTCCCACTGCAGAGACACCTACACAAGTTTCAGCTGAAGAGTTTTAGGTGTTTTTTTTTGTAAAGACTTACTGTTGACTTTTAAAACGTTAAGTTGGTAGTTATAAAAATAAACGTCTTCCCCTGTATTCCACCCCCAAGAAGAGAAAGAGACTGACATATGCTCCGCCTGGTATTTTCTTCTCTGTGACAATTAAAACTATCCAAAAAATTCTTATAGTTTTGTTCTTCCTTGAATGTTTCTGTTTGGATAACATGGCTAATTTGGTTTCATCACTTCTGTGAGTTTTGATTGTTCAGTGAGTCCTCACCTAATGTCATCAGTAGGCTCTGCAACTTGAAGTGAAAGAGAAGATAACCAGTTTTACCATAGGCGACTTGATATGGACAAGCATTCAGATTGTACAAAGTTGCAGTGAAATGAAGTGAAACAAAAGTTATTTAAGAACCTGATGTATTTCTTCCTCCTCCTGCCTTCCACATTACCTCCTTTGTAATTAAAATTGGCCTGTAGAGTGTGTGGTGTAGTCTACACTAATAATCTATACTAATAATAGCCTAGGTGGTGTCACACCCTCATGTCGTCACAAGATGGCCAATTGCCCATGACCCCTTCCGACAGGCCCGGCCTCAATCCACCAATTCGGGCTGGGTTGGCCAGACCCCACCCATGCACAAATTCGTGCACTGGGCCTCCAGTGATTGCTGTGGCTAGGACTTCCAATATATGTTGCATAACAGTGGTGAAAGCGTACATCCCTGTCTTATTCCTGTTCTTAGGGGAAATGGTTTTAGTTTTTGCCCATTGAATATGATGTCTGCTGTAGTTTTGTCATATATGGCCTTTATTATATTGAGGTATGATTCTCTATTCCCACTTGGCTGAGAGTTTTTATCAACGTGTTAGATTTGTCGAATGCTTTCTCGGTGTCTGATGATATTATATTGTGATTTTGTCTTTCGGTTTGCTTATGTGATGTATCACATTTATTGACTTACTAATATTGTACCACTCATGCATCCCTGGGATAAATCCCACTTGGTCATGATATACGTACTTTTTAATATATTACTGGATTTGATTTGCTAATATTTTGTTGAGGATTTTAGCATCTATGTTCATCAGAGATATTGGCCTGTAATTCTCTTTTTTTGTAGTGTCTTTGTCTGGTTTGGAATTTGGGTAATGCTGGCCTCAATTTTGCTTGGAAGTGTCCATTTCTCTTGGAATTTTTGGAGTAGTTTGAGAAGGATAGGTGTGTTAGTTCTTTGAATGTTTGGTTAAACTCCCCTGTGAAGCTATGTGGAACAGGGCTTTCGTTTTCTGGGAGTTTTTTTTATTAGTGCTTCTATTTCATCAGTTGTTAATGGCCTATACATGTTCATTTAACAATCAGGAGGAAGTAATTAGAGTGAACAAGAGGGTAGTACTTGATAGCTTTTTCCAAGTGGTTTTGTTGCTTTGTTTTTGAAGTAGTGCTATGATGTTTTGTTTTCAGTCTCGCTTTTCTTCAGTTCTTTAAGTTGAAAAAAATTAAGTTAGTACTAGATAATTACTTGACAAAAAAATATTGACATAAATAAAGAAGTTGAAAACTAAAATATAATTCCCAATGGTGTTTTGAAAGTTTGAATTAGAAGAACATTATCTAATTGAAGTTATGGTGCATGTAAATATTCATTTAGTCTGGGTTGCTTCTTTTTGTTTAATATATGTAGTTGTGTTCATAGTACTTTTTTTTGGTAACCACAGTTAATTAGATATAGCAATAGCATATAAGGCTTACTCATAATTCTTAAGGAAAATATAATGGGCTTTGGCCCTAATAGTGTGATACAATTTTATGCAACAAAGGAATATGAAAAATATTCTAAAGAACAATTATAACTCTGAACTGCTATATATTACCTCCTGGTGTCTGAAATTCTCAGTTTAAAAAAATCAGATATATTTTCTTAAAGATGATTTTATTTTTTTAAATTTTCTTTAGGTAAAAGTGCAGTTTTAAAGTGTCTCCTGGATATTCACAAAATTTTTCAGCAAAGCGACCAAGCTTACATTCTAAACGATCTCTATATCTCAGACTACTGTGTGTGGATTCAGAAAGCCAAGTAAGTTTTGAATTACATATGAATTCTGTATGTTCCCATTTCAGGAATACCTACTTACCCCTGAGAAAGAACATGAAATAACCTGGGAGATAAATTTTAATGAAAGAGAAGAAGCCTCATTTAGCTACCAAACATTTTAAGAAGTAAATGGATCAACCTGGGTAGCTTAGTGACTTTGCTTAGGGAGGAAGTGCAGATGTTGAAAAGCTAATTTTACTTAAAAAAAAAAATTGGCACTGCTTAGGAAATAAATGTTAAAACAGGCAGTTATAAATATTTAATGCTATGTTATTGACTGTCCTATATAATAAAAGGCTAATATGCAAATCGACTGAACGGTGGAACGACCAGTTGCTATGACGCGCACTGACCACTATAGGGCAGATGCTCAATGCAGGAGCTGCCCCCTGGTGGTCAGTGCGCTCCCACAGGGGGAGCGCTACTCAGCCAGAAGCCAGGCTCATGGCTGGCGAGCATGGTGGTGGTGGTGGGAGCCTCTCCCACCTCCGCAGTAGTGCTAAGGATGCCTGACTGCTGGGGAGCAGGCTTAAGCCATCAATTGGACATCCCCTGAGGGCATCCGGACTGTAAGAGGGCACAGGCTGGGCTGAGGGACCGCCCCCTAAGTGCACAAATTTCGTGCACCGGGCCTCTAGTACAGTGGTTCTCAACCTGTGGATTGCGACCCCTTTGGTGGTCGAACGACCCTTTCACAGGGGTCGCCTAAGACCATCCTGCATATCAGATATTTACATTATGATTCATAACAGTAGCAACATTACAGTTATGAAGTAGCAACAAAAATAATTTTATGGTTGTGTCACAACATGAGGAACTGTATTTAAAGGGCCAGAAGGTTGAGAACCACTGCTGTAGTACAATATGAAATCTCAAGCCTGAGGATTGGAACCTGTTGATACTTTACTTCAGTGCGGTGTGAGTGTGCCTGTGTGCACCTATGTAAACATATCCGGTCACAAACCTAATCAGTGCTGATTACAAATCTGTGTCTTCACTGGCTAACCACTGGCTAACAAAATCCATTGTTCAGAGCATTAAAAAATGCAACCTTCAGAGCCGAATCACATGATTCCTGGTAACGTATACCTAAGGGTCTGAACACTCACAAGTGGGATGCTTGCTCTTGGTATGTAAACTTCAGAAAGGGTTTCCCATTGCCTCACTCAGGACTATATGCAGTTTAACAGTGGAGTGAATTTTCATTTGTGAAAGGGTTCTTAGACCTGATTCTTATCACACATGCCCAAGTATCCATTTAAGAAACTGCTCTGTGCGTGACAGGGTACGGAGCCCCAACCCCCCTGATGGGCCCTGTGCGTGGGTCTGTTGGGTTCTTCTTGCTTGGGACTCTCTGTGCCTTCTGGACTTATGTGACTCTTCCCTTCACCAGATTAGGGAAGTTACCTGACATTATTTCTTCATACATGTTCTCTATTTCTTACTCACTTTCTTCTCCTTCTAGCACACCTATGATGCAAATATTGTTATGGTTTCATGTTGTCCCACAGTTCCCTTAAGCTGTCCTCCTATTTTTAAATTGTTTTTTTCTTTTTGATTCTCTGGTTGAGTGAATTTTTTCTATCCTGTTTTTTAATTCACTGATCCGATCCTCCTCATCTCCCAATCTTCTGTGTATTCCTTCCACTGTGTTTTTTATAGTTCTACTAGAGGCCCAGTTCACAAATTCATGCACCTTGAAAGGAACCGTGGGCTACGAGGCTGTGGTGGGCACAGGGGCAGGTCTTCGCCCATCCTCTGCACCCCTGCTCTGCCCCTCCCGCCACGGCCTCCAGTCCCCTGTTGTCCAGCAGCCCCGCTCCCTCCGCCACTGCTCCCATACGCTGATAACACCAGCCCCGTTTGCACCTGCTGACAGTGCGGAGCGACTGGGGCCAGCGCTGGCCCTGGGTGTGAGCGAGGGCTTTGGTGCCAACTACAGGTTTGAGCGGGGCCACTGCCGGCAGCAGGTGCTAGGGGGGCTGGCGCCGGCAGCAGGTGCAGGTGCACAGCAAGACCCCAGTGCACGGGAGCAAAGAATTTTCAATAACCACCAGAGGCTCACCCTGATGACAGTGACCAGCTCCCTGCCTTGTTCTGTTGCCCCCACTCACCTGCTCCACCGTCCGCCGTGGTGATGCCTGCCATGTTCCGCGCTCTGCTGCCAATGCCTGCCATGTTCTGCGCATGCCCCCTGGTGGTCAGCACACGTCATGACTTGTTGTTTCGCTGTTCAGTCTATTTGCATATTTGGGTTTATATATATAGACTAGATGCCTGCTGCACAAAAATTTGTGCACTCGGGGGAGATGGGGGGTCCCTCAGCCTGGCCTGTGCTCTCTCGCAGTCTGGGACCCCTTGGGAGATAATGACCTGCTGGCTTAGGCCTGCTCCCGGGTGGCAGAGGGCAGGCCCAATCCCTAGGTGCAGCCCCTGGTCGGGCTCAGAGCAGGGCCGATTGGGGAGTTGGGGCGCCTTCCCCTGTCATGCACAGAGCAGGGCAGATCGGGAGGTTGTGATGCCAGCCTCAGTCACACTCAGGGTAAGGCCGATTGGGGGGTTGGGGCACCGCCCCCTGTCACACTCAAGGCAGAGTCGATGGGGAGGTTGTGGTGCCACCCCCTGTCACACACAGAGCAGGGCCAATCAGGGGGTTGGGGCGCTGCCCCCTGTCACGCACAGAGAAG